TATACATATACATACATACGTACGTATACATATAATTTTTGCCTTTGTACAGTTTATAGGATTTCGTATTGTGGCGTCGCAAAGAGCCACCACTTGTGTATTATCGACGATGATTTGTCTTACTTTGTCTCTCTCTCTCTCTCTCTCTCTTTGACAGAGATACACTCAATTATAAAATGGCTCACATTATCTCTTATCTTTTACTCTCCGTCTCCTCATCCCCTCCCCTCCCCACCCCTGCCTACTTCTCCTCTAATTTTTTTTCTTCCCTTTTCTCTCCGTCTTTTAAAATAGTGGAGATTTTTTGTGTTCGCGTTCATCTTTATGATGATGTTATTACCAGTTTATTATTGATAGAGACGGGTGTTATTTCCTGTTCATTGTTCCTAGGGGCGGGACTAACATAGTTTTAAATCCTACATGTTTGTGTTTTTACTGAAGTGCAGGGATTAGACACAAGTATTATTGCTTCTGTGAAAGTTTCTTTTTTTTAAGTAAGAGTTTTGTGGCACTCGCTACTGCAGAAGTTCTGTAAAAGTGTTCATAGTTGGGGGAAGAGGGTGTCTACTATATGTAAGGGCTGTGGCTTCTTTTTCTTAACAATATAGCAACTTTTTTTTTGGGGGGGGGGGGGGTTCTCCCAAAAGCTATTTGCTCAAGTTTTAACAAATATTTTTACTTTAGAATAATTACAAGTCTAATCTAAGCTTTTGGTGTCTAAATGTGTAAGGCCAAATTATTTTTTTTGGACAAAAATAAAATATCAGTAAACGTTTTGTTAGGTTTTTTTTTACAGATTGTTTGAAGGAACGAAGGAATGAGATTGTGTGTGTTCTGGTGGTTTTTTCCTCTCTCTCTCTCTCTCTCTCTCTCTCCTGTGACTGCCTTTCTGCGTCTGTCATGACGCATGGATGAACTGTTCACCTGTTTTTGGCCCACACTGTTTTATTTTTCTCGAACAAGTAAAAACAATGTCGTTATTTTGAAACATTTTACCTATTTTATTGCTAATATCTTTTCTTCCAACAATCATTTAGATTTGAGAGTTAAAATTTCGACAAGATATTTTCTGTTCGAAATTTATTTTTTTTGGTCTACATTTAGAATTGGAATTAGAACAAGATATATTTCGACCAATTACAACTGATTGTAAAGCAACAAAAAAAATAATATATTAAAAAAATTTTCTCAAGACGTTTTGAGTCTAGAACAAGTGAACAGTTATCCGGGAAATTGTCTATTTCTTGCTGTTACGTGAACATTTCTTGCTGTTACGTGAACAGCTTTGCGAGGATATTTTTGAGTTCTTTCTCTTGCCCGAGGTACGCCACACAAACCCTGACCCTAACCCTGAGCCTGATAAATGTGGAATTTTTGTTCTTGGGCGGTCGGCGGCCGCACTCACCAAACCTGTTTGTACATGTTTCAACAGAACCATTCTATATGTTTGGTTGTTTTTGGGGGTTATTTTTGTTGTTTTTTTCGTGTTTTTTTTTTTTAAGTCTGTATATTTTTTGCCTGTATGTGTTTGATGGATTGTATTTGTAAGCACACACATAAAAGCCTTTTATATGTTTCAATGGCTTATGTGTCGGATGCATGCTTCATTTTATCATGATGATGGAGGGTAGTTTGATGGCTGGAGATTAAAAATTTTCCACAGTCCTACGCGATGTCAAAATGCTCCTACATAATATATATCGTCTGGTCGGGTCGCGCGCACAATTGCGCACACTCAGTATTTTTTTTTTTTAAATTTTGCCCCCCTTCGCTTTTAGCACTGTATTTTTCTACCAAGCAAAATGGTGATTACATTTTTCCTTTTTTTTTTTAAAGTGGGTCAAACCATTTTCAGTAAAGCCATCAAGCTGGACTCGGGTACGTTTTTTTTGTTTTTTATGTATTGAGTTCATGAAAGTTTGATGATGTCAATAATGTAATGATGATGATGATAATGATGTTTTATGTTTTCAGTTGTATAACTGTTCCAATGTGTGTATTATCTTTTCATAGAATGTGATCAGGGCTAGTTTGTTTTTTGTTTTGTGTAAAGTTTTTCTTTCTTTTCTTTTGTCTTAAAAAATTTTTTTTTTTTTTACAGATGCCTTCAGAATGAGAATTTTCTGAAACAATTTTATTTGTTATGTTTTTATCAGTGAAGATTAGACAAGGAAAAATAGATTTTTAAATATTTGTGACAGATTCGGGAACAGGAAATTATCTTATTAATGTTCTTTACATCAAATGTCGGGTACACATGTAATTTGAAATTTTGGGAATAAACTCAAGAACTCGTCCTCTGAATCTAACTTTCCTAAAGTTATTCTTGACATTAAATAAATGAGAACTATCAACTATCGTGTAGAGAAAATTTGGGCTATACTTTTGGAGAAAAATTATTTTATGTAGGTCTATTTCCTAATTGACCTGCGTATGTTGTTAAAGGAAATTGTAAGGAAATTCTTGTGCCCATTGTGCGAGATGTTTGTCAATAGAGAGACAGTTACTCATTGGGAAATTTCATTTCATAAAATCCTAGCTTTCTTTTTTACATTTTTGTTTCTATGATGATGTATTTGCACATTTAGCTTTTTACATCCCTCTTGTAGATTTTTACATTCTCACACGATAGATGTTCCCTCGAGTCATTTCTTCTTTTCCTGTCCTGTATTCTTCATCGCTACGTTTCCTCATTTGTTTGAATTATGACTGCCAACACACGGTTTCCCCCCCCCCTGCACGTTGTGTATAATGTGGAGTGTACGACGTAAGTGCGACGTGTTTACGACGTGTTAACGACATATGTACGGTCACTTTGATTACTACAACTACAACTACTTCTACCTTCGTTACACCATCAGATGGTTTATAAGTTTGTGCTTGTCATGTTCAACCCATGTGTCTTCGATTAATTTGTTTTGTCGCGTTTAACATTTTTTTCTTTTTAAAAAAAATCTTACCTCGTTCCTCCCACCCGTTATATATATATTTTGTCTTATAGAGTAGTCCTACTTTTATGACATGAGAATTGTTTTCTGTAAACTTATTTCTTTTTTAAAAAATAACGATCAGGTCGTGTGTTTACTTATCTGTCTTTTGTCTTGTTGTTCTTGTGGTTGTGTGTTTACAGGACAAATCATCTGGTTCTACAGTATGTGTGTGTGTCCTTGTGTACATTAGTGTGTTTGTGTCTTTGTACGTTAGTGTGTTTGTGTGTGTGTCCTTGTACGTTAGTGTACGCTGTCATGATGGATTTGCCTACGTACGTTATTGTCACGCTGCGAATTGTCTGTGACCGTATGTTAATGTCAAGCTGTTAATTATTTACGTACACAAGTGTCTTGATATGATTTTTCTACGTACGTAAGGTAGTGTCAAAATGCGAATTGTCTACGGACGGGAGTTTAAATGTGAAATATCTTCGTACTTTAAGGTCATGATGTGACTTTTCTACGTAGGAAAGTATCAACCTAAATTGTCTATGTACGGACTTATGAACGTGAATTTTCTATGTACAATAAGATCCTGATGGGAATTGTCTTCGTATTAAAGTTTCCTTGCAACTTGTCTATGTATGAAAGTATCTACGTCAATTGTCTTCGAAACGTAACGTCACCCCCCCCCCTCCTCTCACTATGTTTGTCTTGTACGTATAATATTTTGTGCGAGAAACCTACTATCATCATTGAGTATGACACAAAATGGCACTGGCCCCTCCCTTGGGGGCTAAAAAAACTTGTAAGAACTTAGTTTCTCGTCATTACTTTGTTCATAATTCCCCCCTACCCCCCTCCCCTCTCTGCTATTTCTTGTTTTTTTTTAAAATGTTTTTAATTTTTTTTTTTTTTTTGATATGTTGATAGTACATACAAACTTGAAGGTTGATAATTATTTTGTTTGTTCGTCTGAAAGCCTTCGAAAAATTTTACGCTTTTTTGTTTTTCTTTGATGTGAAATTGAAATGTTTTCTTGTTATTCAACTTACAGGAAAGGATTTTGGAACAATAAAATTTTGGACAAAAATGTTTTTTTTATAGCATGAATAAGAAGTAGAAAGAAGTTTGAAGATGAATACAGCACAGGAGATGATGGACATTTGCTCATTTTTTTTACGGAG